TGACCAAACCAATTTGGTGCGTGGATCCCAGCCCAGAGATGCAAGAAAAAGCACGGAAGCGACACGGAACGTACCCCATTCTGAAAACGGCTGAAGAGTTTTTTTCTCTTTCCGAGATAAACCATTGCTTTGATAGAGTGCTAGCTACTGGTGCCGCGCACCATTTCGCAGATCCTGTCGCCGTTTACGAAAGTATCCTGCGCTCTTTACGCCCCGGTGGTATATTTATCAAAGTAAACACGATAGACACAGGTTACCCCTGTTTCGAAAGTGCGAAACGAGTAGAGGAAGTAGCGGTGGAGAGTGGCATCCAAAAGCGGAAACTTCTCCGAAAGCTCGATGTAAATGCAAACGTCCGCGTATCAGAGAAGGAGTTCAACTACCCGATATCTATGACAAAATCCAAGTTGTACGAGATGTTCCGATACATGAGTATGCTTCATCAGTTAACTGACGAGCAGATTGAAGAAGGAATTAAGGAGCTAGAGGATGGCCCGTTTAAGACTGTAAAGGATTCTGACTACATCAGTTATACTCAAGTGATCCACGTAACAAAATTTGACCTGAAATGATCGACTGACTGTAGAGCAGGCAAGTTTCATCCTTTGAACTTTGCAGGAGGACTCCATGTATTGTTAGTTTCCTTGATCTCTTTTTTAGTAGATGTTAACAGTATTCAAACATTACGTCCCCCATTTTCGCGGATATCTTAAGTTGATAATAATCCAACTGTGACCAGGCTCACAATTGTGCATGACATTGCAATATTTTTTGTTATAATTTTAGAATTATATCTTCAGAAACTATTTCCTATATGATAATCAAATTATCATACACACAGGATTTGCATCATAAATTTCCTTTAAGTCGCACCATCACACCTATTTCCTATGATAACCAAATCATCCCAAACACAGGATTTGCAGCTAAATTTCCTTTAGAATGATCACACCTAACTTCTAAAATTTTAGAGAATCTCCCGCTATTGTTCGATTCCTTATAAAAGAAGTACAGTTAGTTAGTTTAACTCAGTAGTTCAGGGGGTCTATACCAGGTCATAACGGCAAAAGGCCTTGATCTGGGCTTCTTGATTTCGACAGTCAGACTTTCTATTTGTTCACATATTAGATCAGAGCGAACAGAATAATTGATTTCGGAACGAATAAAAAAACAAACACCCCCTCCAGACCTACCGTTAGTAGAGCGATCTCTACGAATAGATTCATAGCCAGAAATATGAATTTCATTATCGCCTATTGTGTCATCCAATTTAGTTTCATTTATGGCTAAGATATCGATAGGTCTGTCGGAAAGCAAAATTCTTAGTTCATCAATGTGTGCAGAAAGACTATTGATATTTAGCGAGGCCAATTTAAAGCCTCGTTTAGGCGGGAGAAATTGGTGAGAAACGATTGGATTTCCAAGGTCGCGATTACGCTCTGAATTGAACAGACGGCCAGTAGGTCAACTACATTCATGTAATTTATTCGCGAAGTTGTTATACATTTTGGCAATACCTGTCTCCCCAAGATGAAGTCCTCCTCTATTTAAGTCCGTGTCTCGTTGTTCAAATAACAACTTACATCAGAACCTGCCTCGGTCACACAACGATTATTAAAGTGTTTCCATGATCAATGTTTATGGTATCATTGACAAGGTTGGAGAGAGTTTATGCTATGCATGTTCGTCTCGTTAGTTGCATACAAAAGAATTTCAAGCTTTCAAAATTACCGGTCAACATCCTGATATGCTCCTGAGACTGGTTGGCGTAGTTTTCCAATGGATTAGAACTCAAATTTCCAGGATTTAACTTGGCTATAGATTGTTTTTAAGTTTTAAAATCCCACGTTTTGCACCGAAAGACACAACCTCGTTCCCAGGGTCTCTCATCTTCCCGCCCCCTGGAGCGAGAGATTGGGGCGGGAAGATGAGAGACCCTGGGAACTAGGTTGCGAAAGACAAGGGTTACGTCGATGTCCTTGGTGTACTGGTTAACGAAAATTGTGTGACATCAGTCAATCGAATGGCAGTGTGACAGCTGGAGAATTACCATACTATATACACACTATATACATTGCAATTAATATGTGTTTTGCTGGACAACTGAAAGTAGATTTGAACTAAAATTTCTAATATTACCCATTCTACCCACTTACCCTCGATTGCAGAATGAAGGACATATTTCGCCATGTTTTAAATTAAAATTTAAAGGTTAGGAAAGCAAGTTCTACTGACCCAAACCAGTCCATTTTGTTTCTTTAGCTGATAGTTTTATTGTGTCATTTTCAAAACTTTTGAAATCCCCCTCTTGAATGAAAACAGAACAGCTTTACGGGCCCGTTAAGCTACCGGGACTTTAATTCGAGAAACGGGCCTCAGGACATATTTTCGTTAACCGGTACACGTATATACACCAGAACTTAACCAAAACAAGGATCGCCTTCCTGGTAAACCAAACCCAGATCAATAGCCTATTTCCGAAAAACCCTTGGCCTCATTTTCAAAACGAGTCCTGGTGCTCACCTTTCATATGATAATAAGTTTTCATTCACATGCAAATTAAACTCATTTTCGCAAGAATGGTTGAGCACCAGGCCTCGTTTTGAAAAAGAGGCCAAGGGTAATTCGGAAATGGGCTATTACCAGGCTGATGGTAGCATGTACGAAGACAATCGACACGTCCTCGGTTTTGTTCATTTAGTCGATTTTTATTTTGTACAAATTCTACCCGAGACAAGTTTTGTCGGCGGTACGGTCGAATTTTTGGCCACCTCGGCCAGAATTTCGGTCAAGTCGCGACAAATCATCCGCACTTGGAAAATGTCGATGATGACAGAATCATGAAACAAATGTTTCCGTACTGCAATGGGCTCTTAACTGCTTCCCATTGTATTGGGTCAGTGTTCCCCGATTTTCGAAAACTTCCGAGGAGAAGGGGACCTTAGAGGCCCTAGATTTAATAGTTGCTCTCTTCAGACCAACTTCTTGCGCCATCCCATATTTCGATTTTGATTTTTTAGTCGGTATTCTTCTTTGAAGTTGGTGAACTCTAAGGTCGCTTTCGTTGTTTTGAGCAAGACAGTCTTTCGAAACTTTCGCACCTACACATTTCTAAGCCGGCCAAGCTCGTATTGATCAAAGGTCATTTAAAAATGGTTTGATGTAAGGTATCACAGTAGGAAAATAAGCGTTTTCATTCAACCTGACAGAGCGTAAAAACTATTCGCGCTATCCCTATAAAGATGTACATTTTTTTAAAAGGTTGATAAACACAAAACTTCAGATATTTGATTGAATTTTATAATTTTGATCATTAAACAGGATGGGAGCTTATCATTTACACTTTTACTTACATTTATCTTGCTCGCATCAGCTCGGCATTTTGTAGTTCGAAAATTCATTTATTCGCTCATCAAGGAAAGGTTCATGGAGCACCTTTTATTGTGGCTTACGAGCAAGCCTTAGCTCTCCCGAAGCTCCCGGGGGGGTGCTCTCCTGGTGCTCCGGGGATGCTTTAGTCCAGGGGCTCTTTGGGTGGAATCTAAAAAACCTAATACATACTGTCAAGACCTAGTTGATTAGTTATTTAAATTTCTAATCAATTAGGTCTTGACAGTATGTATTAGGTTTTTTAGATTCTTAATCTTAGAGGCACGTACGTATTTTGAACGAGCTCTATGAGATCCTTGACGCTACGTGGGTAAATAAAGTATTGATTGATTGATTGAGATGTGGGTGGGGTCTCCTGGCCATTCCACCCCCAGAACTTGCTGGCAGGCTACAATTATCGCAANACGTAGATTTTGTTTAAGAAGTTATGATCGAGGATCGTGCATCATACTGCATGTTGTTTATGTTTCTGTTTATCAAGTGTACCTTGATTTTGTTTCAGTGAGTCCCTTTTTCCCTCTCAGCTATAGAATTCTTTATTTTGTAACACAGGCTGAATGGGAGCTGACATTACACTATATTGTCGCTTTTTCATCTGTGATAAAGGATTCTGTCACTGGACTGACAATGTTTATTAAAATCAATTAAAGTCCAATTTCAATTTCTAATCTATTAGGTCTTGACAGTATGTATTAGGTTTTTTAGATTCTTAATCTTAGAGGCACGTACGTATTTGAACGAGTTCTATGAGATCCTTGACGCTACGTGGGTAAATTGATTGAGGTGGGGGTGGGGTCTCCTGGCCATTCCACCCCCAGAACTTGCTGGCAGGCTACAATTATCGCAAAAACTGATCATAAATTCGTGAAATTAAAGACCCCTCGAAACACTCTCCATTTTTCCTCCCAGCGATCCTGGGGTCCGTTTCTCGAAAGTCCCGTTAACTTAACGGGCCCGAAGCCATGTTTTAAAATCAAAATTTGAAGGAAAGAAAAGCAGGTTCTGGCACCCAAATCAGTCCATTTTGTTTCTTTAGCTGATAGTTTTATTGTATTATTTTCAAAACTTTTGAAATATCCATCTTGAATGAAAACAGAACAGCTTTACGGGCCCGTGAAGTGACCGGGACTTTTGAGAAATGGGCCCCTGCTGCCGAAAAGACCCGCTAAATCAATGAAAAAGCACCCTTACCTTTTCGTTGTCAGGGAAGATCCTTAAAAATGCCGCAAATACTTCGCCCACGTCAACGGGTATATCAGGTGTGGCATTCAAAATAAAAGAAATACTGTACAATGTTGCTCTGTCAGACTATTTCACGCCTATGTGATACGCGTAACGATTGTGTTGTAAGTTCTAGAGTCGTTAAAACGCTTTTTTAAGCAGGGAATTGGATTCCTTAGGGAAGATTCAGACGGAACGACATATGCAACGAGACTATCGATAATTGATCTAATTGATAATTGATAAATGACGTTTCCTACGCACCTAGGTTATGGTAAATTCTGATCTGTTTCGGACAACCAAGATTTCGTGACAGTAATTTGATACTGTCCTTTCAAATTTGTCGACAGCAGGGTTAAAACGTCAAAAGCATCCATTCATCTATAAATCACGCTAAGAATGTGCTGATCTTCAGTGTAAAACGCTTCACTGAAGATTCAAGAGTCGCTTTAAAAACCTAGCTGTGACAACTGTTCTTTAGTACAAGGTTGCCGTTCTCATAACTGATGGCGATTTGGATGGGATCGAACGTGCGCTGGCTTTGGAGTGTATTCGTGCGTGCCTTGTTAACAGTATCTTTATGGAGCATTTTACAGACGAGCGCTCAAGGTAAAAGACGTACCCTTCACTTTCGTTATTTTAGATTGACAATATGGTTTTCTAGTGACCTTTCTGTTTATCCCTTAGCAGCGAGGATAGGAGAAAAATGTAATCGTTCTTTACAGTCGTGACTTTGTAATCGCTCGCTGCATCCAGACATAAGCCGTATGTGGTGGCGGTATTAGCTAGAGGTATTTTCTGAATTTGGGAAAATATTCAAATAACACTCAAAATCCACGGGATGTTTTCTCAGAGGCGTGAAATGAAATATTCAATTTCTTGTAAGATTCAGTACAAACCTGTTACAAGCTCAATTTGGTTTATTTCTAGTGAAGTTGGAACATTTCCCTACTCCTGAGGTAGGGTAGGAAATATGTCTCGCGTAAACTAATTAGAATAAAATGGAAACTGGAAAGAAAACGAAACCGTAACATTAAGAATTCCTGATAAGTTTGCATTGCTTTAGAACAATAAACCTGTAACGACCGTTGCATTAAATTTAATTGCAAGTGTTTTTACTTGAACTTACAGGCGTTTTTTTTTTATTATTATTATTTTCATCTAACCTCTGATAATGAAAAAAGCACACATTGAACCATATCGCAGAGAAACGTTTACGTTGAATATCAATGAGAAAAATTCAATTAATCTGTTAAAAAAAAGGCAGATTTAAAACTGATAACCCCATGCAGATAACTCCAGAATCTTCGACTAATTTTCAACCTTAATTCGGAAACACTGACGGTTATTTTGCTTATAACAACAAAGACAATTAAAGGCTCTTATCCCACAAATAACACTGTGGCTTGCAAGTAGGAAATTTTAATTTCCGGCGTCTTTTTTTTGGCATCTGTGCTTCAAAATCCTTTGGAACTTGGAATAATACTACGGTGCCGATATTTGTGATTGTCATGCAATATACTCTTTCACGGTTTTCTCGACTTTTGACATGATTTGGCGAGCGGAAATCGATTGACACAGCTGTAAAGAGGGCCACAATGAGATTAGCAAAATTGTTGAGTTTGAGAGTGATATGCTGAAAATTAACGAAGCTAAGACACTGTTAAGTCGCGACATTTGAAGGCATCTGTATTAAGGGGGCATTAACTTGCCCCCATTGTTCAAACGTCCGTAAAATTTCGACAATTCGCGGAATAGCACTGCATATACTTGGCAATTTTGCCAATCTCATAGCACCCTAATTTTTACCAGTGTTCAAAGGATTTCCGCCCGGAAAGGCGCTTCGTTTATTTGTGAACCAATTTAACGCGTTAAAACTGATGTCATGAATTAGTGGTTTGGCACTTTGCAAACAAACGAGGCTTAATTTTGGGTACTTATTTGGGAGGTACCCTCTCACTGCGAAAAATTGAAAGTACTCTCTCATTGAGAAACATGGTACTGAAAAGCCAGACGGTGAGCCATAATAAATAATTGAGTTTTTTAATTATCTGTTTAGCCAGCTTTTGGCCAAGCGACCCTTGGCTACTTTTCAACGGATATACCGTTGGGGGTATGTCTGATAAGAACTAATTCAAAATTCAAACATGTCACAAATTTAAAACATCACGTAAAAGTGGGGAAAGCAAAGCACGTAGGGCAGTGTAGCGTGCGCAGCCGAGCGGTCGATCGAATTTTTTAACAGTACAAAATAACCAACTGTCCAATATTGCAAGATATTTGTACTCGACTTAGTGCAGTGGGATTATAAATATATTTTATTAGACGTTTTGTTATGTAGTATCGCTTGGTATTTTTACGAATTGAGCCGTATTTTGACGAGCCCGTAGGGCGAGTCAAATACAAACAAGGAGTAAAAATACTCAACGATACCACACAACGAAACGTTCAATAAGATACATTTATTATCCAACAGGCCAAATTGTTACTTCAGTGCGGGTGAATTTCGCGGATATTTCGGAAGTACAAATATCGGGTGATATTTGTGCTCGTCTCGCGCGTTATTTGTACTTTACGAAGCACATTTGGCGGATAATAAAAACGAGTATTGATATGTACTTGGTGTCTATAAGTAGAAATATGTGAAACCTTTCCAAGCTCTTCTCGTCACTGAAAAAGTTGTAGGGAAAGTTGGACTGCCTATCTATAAAATGTTGTACGATAATCGCGCCCGAAATCCCAAACTGAACACACGACAAGAGGATCTCAATGGAGTTAACTGTTAGCCGTAAAATGACCAAAATATTTAGCCTAGAGCATATACATTGACACTTGAAATTTTTACCAATAGACATAAAAAAGTTAACCATAAAAAAATTTCTGGCAACAATGATGAAATGATATTGAAAAAAGAAAAAAATGGCCAAAATTTTAACCGTGAGCCGTAGAAGCCATCACTCCAGTAAGACCATCCCGGAACCAGGCTCCAATCGAGCGATAGATTTTTGTTTCGGACCGCCAACTTAGTGTCCAATCACCCAAGCCAATATTTTGTATAAAGTTGTCTGATATTACCTTATAATACGCGACCTTGCATGTTATTGTTTTTGTTTTTGTTTTGTTTTGTTTTTTTTTTTTATCGGTTCTCACTTGGAAATGATATCATAACGCTATTTCTAGAATTTTTATTCTCAAACCGTTTCCCAAATATACTCTGATAAGAAAGGCTTTGTTCAAAAAAACATGATAATTCATACATTATCTTCGTCTGAAAATTGACGCATTTTTCCTCGCAAACGGACTGTAAATGACGAAAAGTGGGAATAAAAGAACTTAAAAACAACTTAAAACTTGGAAAAAAATTATATATTAAGCCAAAGGAGATTGCGTTCGTTCAGATTACTGAACTAAGCTACTAAGTTACTAAGCCCCTTATTTGGAGCCAAGCCAGCGATAGATGGTTTGGTTGACGCTCTCACACAGGCAAGCTAAGACAACAGCACTGAACGAACAGGGCATAAAAAGTACTAGATTTTTGTACAATCTTTGTCAGTGTTGAGTAAATGTCGAAAACATCAAGTTACATGACCGTAAAAATAAATGGGATTCAAAAGTACAAAGACTGAACTTAGCAAACTCCTGATCCTTTAGAATGAGGTCAAATTCGCAAATCAATTCCAATGTCGGCTGTGAGTTATTTGTAAAACACAGAAAACATAATTACGATGATGTCAGATAAGATGTTGACAATTGAAAGTATTAAAAACTGCTTAATAATAAGCCGGAAACAATGAAAAGTCTGTCCAAAAATGCATACATTAACGAAAATGGCAGATGAGACAAAATTGCGTCAAAATCGTCAAATCCGCCAAGATGATTTCGCTTTGAAGAATTTCACTAAAATTCTTCAAAATCGTCAATTATTAGTTCACATACTTGTTACTTAAAGTGATATTTTCGTTTTTTTCCATTGGGTACATTTAGGTTAACAACTTGTTATTTTCTTCATTTCTTCCCGGGATTGCTAGGCGGATCACTGCAGCACAAAGGAAAGATAAACTTTTATCGTACGGTTCCTGAAGGTTCTTCCGTTGATCTCAGCTGTGAGCTTAATGACCCTACGGTGGACGTGAGACTGTGGCAGATGTTACCGTCTGGGGCGATGTTTACACCGAGAAAAGGCGTGGCTAAATATGGGCAGCTATTTACTCTTCAAGGAGTAAGCAACAAAATGCAGGGCCTCTATCTATGCAGGGTGAGAAGTCGCAGATTCTCCAAGAATATTGGAAGAATCGTTGTGACACCAAGACTGCAAGGTAATGAGGAAAGCCTGTAGAATCGACTGTTAACATTCTGTCCTTACGTTTCTCTACCCTACATCAACAAGCTATCAAATTCAGACACTGCTTCTGTTGTTGCAAATTGAGAATTGTGTTATCCTAGTTAACAATTCCGTTGTTGTGACTCATGGCCTCAGTTATAACTCAAATAATTAAGCTCAATAGGACACGTAGAGGCCCAAAAAATATTTTCGCGAACCTTACCATGTCATTACGGAATTTGTCATTGAACGATAGACTACAAGCAGTCCCTCCTCTTCGAAGAGTCCGTTCGCGCGCTTCTTTTAGTCGTGCGCCTCACTTCCAGTCAGGGCGGAGAGGGGTTGGGAACCTCTCTTCGCCCTGTTCCCAGTGATCCGCGCGGCGCGCTAACGTTACCCTTTTTTTTTTTTTTTTTTTTTTTTTTTTTTTTTTTTTTTTTTTGTGCGCGCAACTGACTTAGCCGAAAAGAAGGACTGCTCGTAGTCTAATGAAAGCAAGAAGTTGCAATAACGCCAACCATTGAGATCGATCAATCTCCGAGTAAGGCGTACCTCTAATCCTGTGAGTTTTAATTTCTAATGTCGGGTTGCAACGACATGGATGCGAAATTTGTATTTCTGTAGACCCTCCAAGACCCAACGTGACAGCAAGATATCAAGGGGTCGTTGTCCATAGAAATAAATACCTAACATGTACTGCAAAAGGCAAGACTATTTCTTCGGTTCAGTGGTACAAGAATGCACGACCTCTGTCCATGCTGCATCAAGAAGTCAGGAGACGGTACGATATCGCAAAAGAAGAAATATGGATCAATACTTTACTATTAAAGAACGTTACAAAGACGCAGGGTGGCTGGTACGAGTGCCGTGCGTTTATAACTGCTCAGAAGTTTGGATTTTGGTCAACTCATACCAAATTGAATGTTTTAGGTAAAATATACAATAACTGTTGGTCAGGTTTTGCCTCGTATTAAACGTGTACCGACAGATATTTATGTCTCTATAATTTTGGGAGATCGTAATGCTACATGATTGTGTTGATTTGGAATGAATGGGTTCCCTACGGGTGCTCATAACTAGCGTAAACATAGACTTTTTGAGACGGGTAGGGCATCTGGGGGAACCATACAACTAACTCTAGCGCGCTTTGACTTCAACTTATCAACCGGAATTAAGAGGCATCAGACGAAAATAATCGGTGTTCGGAAGGTCACGACGATAATTTTCAGTAGCCTCTGGCTACAAGTGAAATGCCACATCTTATGAAAAAGTGGATAAAATTTCAGGAACGATGATTGTAGCATTTCAGGACATATATTAAGCAATTCATTTCTTCTGAGAACATGCGCTGTGTGATCATCTTCAGAATGCCCGGAACCTAATGGAAAGTTTGCAGATCCGCAAAGCATTACGGGATACCTTGTTTGCTCGGGTGGGAAGAGCACTAGAATGAACTGCTCAAAGGGACTGGTGTGGAGAGACGTCAAGAATATGTGCGGCACTCCAGGTAAAGTATTAGTTAGGGACCTTAAGAAACCACGACGGCGACGCCAAGGAAGACTTCGATTAAAAAATGAATTTCTTCTCTTAGTTAGAATTTCAAAAATGGCTGCAGGAGCTTACTGTCTCATATAGCGCCACAGCTCAACTTCCGCAGGACGAAAAAAGTAGCCGTTGAGTTCCAAATGGAAATCAAAATAATTTGCCGTCGCGGTTTCGGTTCGCAGACGACGCAAATTTTGGCGATTTCACGTTGTTGTTTTGCATAGGACGGCTATGAAATGTACAAAGTTTCAAAACGCACGTGCTGAGCTACTGTTTTGCCAATTAGATCTCTTGTTTTTCCACGTCCTCGTTGCCGTCGCCGTCGTGGTTTCTCAAGGTCCCTATTCAGAGAAGTATGGATGTACGGAGGATTTTGGATCTGCTTAGTAGAGAAATATCAAGCAGTGCTCCTGAGGGCGGGAAAGTGATAAAAGATTTTAAAAAAATTAACCTAAGGTCTGTTTACCTTTCAAGAAAGATTAAAGTTTTTTTTAGGATATATCAACAAAGTTGAAATAGTAAATTGGCCACCGTAACGATTACAAAAGCTGACGTTTCGAAATTATCAGCCTTTAAAGTTTTTTTACCCTCTCAGCTAAATGTGAATTTCTATTTGAAGATCGACTTTTCTTGAAGGGCGGAATCTTTTTCCCGACTGTGATAGTTTGCTAGACTCGCAGGACTTCATTGACCTGTTGTTGTTGTTTTTTTTTGTTTTTGTTTTTGTTTTTTTCAGCTAAGGCTCTCCAATGGGAATCCAAGCATTCATTCCAACAGAAAGACCTAACTGTCGGAGATTCCGTGATAATAAGCTGTCGAATGAACGATCCTCGAATAAGAGTCAAGTTAAAACAAAAACTTTCCTCTGGTATGATAAAGGAACGAATGGCAGATGGTTGCAGGGTCAGTCGAGTTGGTCAGACGTTTGTTATCCACGCTGTGGATTTTCACGATGCTGGTATCTACCTCTGCGAAGCACCGTCTGCTTTTATAAGTCGAAAGCAAGAAGTTTACTTGATGATCAAACCTGGTAAAGTTTAATAGACTTTTTGCATGAATGAGTTTTTATTATCACTACCGTGGAGTAAGGTTTACAGTGTTTTGCCACTCAGTGTAGACCGAGAGGGAGGAGGGGGGAGCGGTACTTCCTAGTAACGGACTAATGGGGATGTGCTGAACTACTGAATGGGGTCACATTTTCACGACTGGATTGACTTAATTGAGGTTACATTTTCCATAGAGTTACTAGAATGAGATCGACGCATTTCCGGGAGAATTCCGGTAAGCAGGGATTTCAAAATAGGATGATTCGTGATGGAAATGCTTTTACCGTAACTAACCTCAAGCGTGAGAAATTCCAACTGATTAAGCTGCAGTTTGTTTTAGCGTTGTACGTGAAAGTTTGAGAAGATGGTGCACATCTCTAACGCTAATCACAAGGCACAAAAAAATAAATGTCAAAACTGGATTACTTTTGAAACTCAATAACTTAATTTTGTACTTTATCAAACCATTTAAGAGACCACATGCAATCCAAATTTAAATATTCCCAGAACTAAATCTATCGGTTTCGTAGCCTGACAGACACAACTTGAATCACTGTTCTCAAAGTCACAATCAAGTTTCATCCTTCTAACTGTACCAAACTTAACTAAATGCTAACTGAGCACACAACTTTTCAACTCTCTTAGTTTAGAGTAGTCATGTCTGAAAGTAACAATCCTGGATCTATTTCGTCTAGCTCCGTCATCTACCATTTTCACGGGACACAGAAATTTATTCGCATCCTATGGGAGCTCCGTAGATTTGAATTGTGGCGCCGAACACATCTATCAGCCAATGATATTCTTGGAGATCATTCGCACAGACGGTATAATACAACTGACACCGGACAGTCGCAGAATTTTCCTGACGTCACGAACTGTGACCATACACGGAATGGAACGGACCATGAGAGGGAAGGTTATCTGTAGGGTTATTTCATCTTGTGATCAGGCACAAGAAGATGTGGACTTAGGGTTTCTTTTACCGATCCCACTAAGAGGTACATTTCAATCATTGCTCTGTAAGGGACCACTCATTATTCATCGCCTGAGAGGGAGGATTTTGTGTGTGTTTGTGGTGGAGGGGGGGAGGGGGAAGAACATATGGTTTTCAGGGGGAACGGAGAGGGAATCAGTCATCGCCAACTAAGTATAAAAGGGGACGATAGCAAATTGACTACCAGTTAATTGCTAATAAAGGGCAGAGCCTTGAGGGAGGATGACGTACATTTCATTGTGACGCAACTAAAACCCTTCAACTCTCCTCCCCTCTCCCCCCTCCCTTCCCCAACCCGCCAGGCGATGGATAATGACTGGTCATTAAAACAAATGATACTATCACATAGGCCTTTATAGATTATGCTAGTCAGTAAAAGTAGCATATTATGCTAGTAGCATTGCTTTTTTTTTGGCGAATTAAACTGAAATTATGGTCTTTTTTTCCAGATTTTGGCCTTTTTTTTAAATTTTCGAGATTCTAAAAATTGCAAATAAGTCCAAAAATACATTTTTTAATTAGAAGGCGTTGGTCTACAAGAAAGAAACGCAACAAATCCACAATGAAATTTAAATAAACATGTGCTTCATGTTAACCCGGGCTCAGACCGTTTCAGACGCCGCTCAGTGATTCACAGTGAACTACAAATGCTACTACGTGAACTAAAACTTAAAACATCGAATAACGTCACTAAGTGTTTGGAAGTAGAGATGAACAATGATCAAATTGTAGCATCACAAATGACTCGATAATTATCAAAATATACGAATTATGCTAGCATTGCTACTTGACAGAAATTATGCCAGTTTCCTCAAATTATGAGCTGATGAGGTTGATCTTGATTTTATGATACTGGGAGATTCATAAGCTCTTTTACTCAGTTTGTTTGCTTGATTTTTTTTTTGGTAATTTTTTTCGCTCTTTAAGAGGGGTACATTGCCTTTCTTTATCCTTGCCAGAGTATTTTTTATACGAAATCGCCAGAAGCCTCGTGAGATGAAGAGAATTCCTTATTTAGTTGATTTCTTTTTTCAATTCAAAATGACCGAAGTTCGACCAATTATATTCAGGCTATGGATCACCAATGGAACCCTGAATTAACTTCGGCTTGTAAAATATTTTAGTTTCGAACCCGGCCTTTAAGCTTATTGGGTTTATTGTCGTTTTGTAATTGCTTTTTTCTGTACTTTTCTTGTCAGGAAAACGGCCTGTCCCAGAACTATCACAGCAACTTTCCGAGGTAAAAGAAGGTGACAACCTCATCATTACATGCTCTGCTTCTGGTAAAGAATCACGTGACATAGCGTGGTTCAAGAACAAAACACCTGTAGCAGAGAAGAACGTTTTGACATCGGGATTTCGCAGTGAGCTCAAGCTTTACAATGTCAGCAGTTCTGACGCTGGGGATTATGAGTGTAGAATCATGGATTTTGGCGTTGGATACTTTACAAAAACAGCGACAGTTAAAGTCAAAGGTATGTAAGGAAACAGACTTTTACCGGACCTTACGACCAGGTCATTGTTTTCTTGTTGCGTACTTCAGATTCTGCCTTCAAGTGAACTGCACTTGTATCCTTTAAATCTTTATCTCAAGTCTACCCTTCCTACGTAACATGCGTTTCAATCGAAAGATTAAGCGTAAATCAGTTATGAAAAGGATACTTCCCCGTTCTAACCTAACGTAAACTGCTGTATAAACGTGGGTCGTTCAGCGCGGTAAGCTCTTTCGAGGAATATTGGCCATTCCATTCAGAGGTGATTGTAATTTATTGATTGTAATTTATTGATTTATCATGTTTTTCATCAAGGCTCGACAGAAACAATGCCGACAGCATTGACAACAGCCACTTATCCGTCGGCATCACTTGAAGTTCCGTCGCCGATCACAATAATCCCATATCAGACGGTAGATATCAACTGCTCCATGTTTCAAGCAGACATCGAGTTGAAATTATGGCACGAAACAACTCCAGGATTTCTCACCGAAAGGATACCTGACGGGATCTTCCTGATCCGCCGAAATAATACGTTTAGGATAATTCAGGGAAGACAGAGCGACGAAGGAAAATATTATTGCCAGAATGCCGGCTTCCGCAAAATTCAAGTCGCCATTTTAACTTTTCCAGGTAACATACAAATTCGTGTTCTTGGCTGCATAGAAACTCGTCACGCTTTTTTTTTTTCAATTTGGGTGACAAATGGTTCTGATCGTTTTGCCTTATCAGTCATCCTTATTTTCATGAATGGCTTCTCTTTGAAAACTTTTTAGATAAAAACCCTCCAAAGATAATCAACTTCACGACAAGGGCATCTGTGAACGCTTCTCAAAATGTAAGGTTGTTTTGTGAAACGGAGGGTACACCTTTCTTTGCGAACATCAAGTGGTTCAGGAATGGGCATCTGATCGGAAGCTGTACGGGAGATCCACAACGAAATAAGACATGTTTCCTTCACCGTCTACAAGGAAAATACTCTATTTCCAGGAGGGGATCTGGGGCAGAGCTGGTCATCAAGAAAGCGTTCCATCCTTTTGACTCTGGAATCTTCACTTGTGTCGCCATCAACTCAGCTGGAACGGATAACAAAACTGTAACTTTAGATATCCATGGTAGGTCATTGATAAAAGCAATATTATGACCTGGAGACTTTTATAACCGCGTCTAATACTTCGTATCTCCCGGCAGGGCCGGGAATTTTAAAAATACCGAAATTGGTGGAGGTTCGAGTCCTCAGGAACTCGTAGGTTTTATTTGTCCCACGTGTTACCTGAGTAATTTGCGACAAAGGACGTTCCTAGTTCATTTATGCTGTCAGGTTGTAGCATGTTCGCCACATTTGAAGTATCCTTATGGCCCAGTTCACAAACGAGTTATTTGTCGCTCGGCTGGAATTATATTGGACCTCAAATTAGAAATTGGCTTAGGTTTGAATCTTGAAACGCAGCCTAAATTTTTTCTTTGTCCCACTCTCGCATCATACATTTAACATTTTTGTTTTATACGTGAATTTCTGGCACCAAAAAGAAAGGTTTTCTTGCTTCGAGCCACTAACATGGGCTGTTTGAAATTACGAATAAGGACTATCCAAGGTATGGGAGTGGGTTTCTGACAAACACACCTCTATTTTTTAACAACAATTTACCCCAAAGTCTACGGTAGCTTTGTCACTATTCTTGCAAAATAATTTCATATTGTGGCTCAATCATCGAAAATGACGGCCCGTTGATTCAATGTTTACTTTTTTTTAAGATGGCCATAGAATCTAATGGCAGCTTTTACACACACATTTCAGAACCTCATAAAATACAAAAACTGATCACCTTTTAAAAAGTGTCTTTAGGATAAACAGTCTGTTTTATGTTACATCAACAGAAAAGCCTCTTCTTAACAAGAAAAACCACACAGACTTCCTTGTATTGTCTTTTGGAGACGCGACTACGATCCAGTCCACAGCGCTGCGCGGCCATCCAGTACCTCACTTCAAGTGGTTTCAACAACCAATCAGAATCTGCAATTCAGGATGCAAACCGGATGCCAGAAAATGGAGACGAGTTCCACGTCATGCGATCGATCCATCGGAGAAAGTTCCTTCAAGAATAAGCAGTTTGTTCCTTCCACCCGCGAAGTCCGGCTATTTTTTCAGATGTATCGCGGAAAATTCCCTTGGCCATGATGACGCTGTTTTTTCCGTGCACAGAGTTGGTAAGTTTATTCGAATTGATACAAATTTTACAGCACTTGAATTTTTGACATGATTTTTTTTCATTTTTGTCCTGCGTTCTATACATAAGACTTACCCAAAAGTGGGTCAGCGAAAACTGTATACTTTGCAAAATTAATTCTCACGACACATACGAAACAAAAGTTCAAATTTTTAGAAAGAAAACGCAAGTTCGAGAACAACAGAACGCGAAGGACTTTGGAAAAGTCCTCTGGCTTACTGCTAGATTTTTTTTAAGGTAAGCGTTCAATTTTGTCGAGTTCTCCTAAGTTCAAACTCCATGAAATTTTTTCTTTTGATTATTTCCCTTTCAGATAGGGAAGCCGTTTTGCCAGAAATCGTCCCCTCATCCACACTACTAGTGGATGAGTTGAGCTCTTTTACGATCTCATGCAAGGCCAACTTGGGAGATTTTGAGTATCTCGAATGGAAAAAAAGAGATTCAACTCAGATGACATCCACTATATCGACAAGGAACAGACATAACACCTCAACAACATTATCTATCAGGCATGCGCAGCTAGGGGATGCTGGGGATTATCTATGTTACGGATGGACTGCAAACGAGACAAAGATTTCAGTTATAACAGTTTTTGTTGCAGGTAAGGTATATCAATGACAGGGCAATTTTGTTGATTCACTGAAATCTTTATTGGGATGTTCAGGGAAAGTGAGTCCTTGCGAATTTGTATAAAAGGTGCAAGACAGGTTTTCGATCGAGGAAAGAGGCTGGAAAATTGTCCAAGTTGGCTTCATCTCTGCCAAAAAACATAATTTTCATTTTTTATGATTCTCTTCCAGAATTAGTTGTTCCCGTTGTATCGCTCTTAAATCAAACCATTCAAGAAGAAAAAGTTGACAGTACAACGTTAAAATGCATCATTGCATCAGGGTATCCTCCACCAAATGTCACATGGTACAAAGATGGCGCACAGTTGCGCCCACTCTCCCTTGGGTCAGTGGATGACTGTAGAATAAATGGATTCCATTATATTGAAAATGACCGCCCGCCTTTCACGAAAGACTTGCTGATATGCAAACCAAACCATGCGGAGAACACTGGAATTTATAGGTGTGAGGCCGAGAATATTAAAGGAAAAGATGCGAGTGAAGCGTTTTTGAATGTATTAGGTTTGTATTAGGAATGTGTTACGTATTTCCATTCCTTTTTTTTTTTTAAGTCCGTCTTTCTTTGAAAGAAAAATGTGGCTTCAAAGCTCACTTTGTTAAAACATCTCAACATGGAGACTAATTGTAATATTCTATAGAGGATGTTTCACCAAATAAATAACTTTTTCAGGCTGGTTGTTTTAGAAGGGTTATAAATTTCAAGGGTTTTGTCATGGGTATGTATGGATAAACTTAGATGTAGCATCCTAGTCACTGAGTAATTATATCGGTCCACCCCCCCCCTCCTTCCTACAAATGCCCTTCCCCAAGCCTCCACGTTCCGTGGAAAATTGAGCTGGTAATGAGTATTAGAAGAGCTTATCTTGTTGTTATTTACATGACTGTATGTTTGTTTCGTTTTGTAGGCTTGTTTGCATGTTTGTTTGTTTTCAGGAATCTCTTCTATGAAACTGCAAACATTTCAATTTAACAATGAATATAATTGCCAATGTTTTACTGTGTAAAGTCCATTGCCAGACTGAGACCAAAATCATCTTGCATCGCACAATTTTCTCTTTTCTGTTCACTTCCGAAAATTTTTATTTCCTCAGTACCGTTCTTCTCTTTTTTCGATTAGCGCATCCAAAAATTTCTAACATGGTGGATGACAGCCTGGCCAAGGAGCTGGGCGAGAAAGTTAATGTCAGTTGTGAGGTGACAGGTAACCCACCTCCCTCGGTGAAATGGGTCAAGAGAACACCACAGGGTCACCATGTACCTGTCGTGAATAGGGGCAAGGAGAACCACACTCTTCTGATAAAGTCCCTTCAACAGCAGCATTATGGGGTCTACATGTGCATGGCTAAAAACAAGTTTGGAAACGATTCCGTGGTTTTATCTGTTGGTAAGTAGCCCTCCAGTAGTTGGCAGTAGGCAATATAAAACGAGTTTTTGCTATCTGTAGACGGCGCCACATGATTCCCTTTAACACCTTGGAGGTTTTGAAGTTATTCAAGAGAACTTTGACGAAACGATACGTTTGTAAAATCTTTTTCAAAACCACCACACCCGCCACTGCCGCCCTCCCTAACCCTTCCTCCCTACCTCCTCTATTGCCTTACCCGCACAGATCAGCTTAATAAGGATTCTAGTATACCCTCATGCCTCCTTCTTAACTTACCTCAGTTCAACTAGGACCAGTTGGCACCATTAGGAACCTGAGACATCATTCCAAGATCCCCTTCATAGCAGCCATTGTGGTTGGCGTCGCCCTGTTCTTGTTGCTCTCAGTCATCGCCGCCATTTTTTATCGCCGGCGACAGATTTATGGAGGTTTCTACATCTGCACCACTCCTCCCCTGCCAGACATGATACCGAGGCTGGATTCCTCCATTCCTCTTATTGAGCAAGTACATAAGCTGCCTCTGGACAAACGCTGGGAGTTCCCTAGAGAGCGTCTTCGCTTCTGTAAGATTTTTATTGATAAATAATTCCTTACATTTAACTACATATTGCCTTCCTTTCTAGCTACGCAACAGATCAATAGCAAGTAGATAACACTGCCTGGCATATTTTTATATCATTGAAATAAGCCGAAAAATTCCCTTACAAAAAGTTGTAAACTGTTCAATGCAATTTGGCATAAGGCCTACGAAAAGTACCGCAAAGCGCCTTAGAGCATTTTTCTTTCTTTACTGCATACTTTGCCAAATAATCGCTCTTGCAAATATCCAACTACCAAATTATCCAAAATAAACAATCAGTGACCAAAACTAGCCACTGGCGTCCAAAATACAAAATCGGCCACGAGAGTCCAAAATCACAAATCGGACACTAGTGGCCAAAATACAAAATCGGCCACTAGTGTCCTAAATCACAAATCGGCCAGTAGCGGCCAAAATACAAGATCGACCACTTGTCCAAAACCACAATTCGGACACCAGCATTTAAAATCACAATTCGGACACCACTGTCCAAAATCGAAATCAAAGGTTAATTCTACTTTCGCCTTTGCTAATTCCCTCCACTTCCAAAATGTACTTGTAGTATATTTAACCCTCCTTCCCTCCCCTTCCCTCCCCTTCCCCCCCCGCCTAATATGCTGTTGAGCCTGGTATATATATCATAATTGCCATTTCTTACGGCGAACTTAACGCTCACAAACTCTCACGGATTGCAGGCAAAGTGCTCGGCTCTGGTGCTTTTGGTGAAGTGTACTTGGCCGAAGCAGAAGGGAACATCATAAGTGATGGCACATCAGCAGTAAACTCTCACAAAAGACATCGGTTGTCGACACTAAAGGACTCACGAAGGGAATCATCTATATCTCAAAGTCATGGACCTGTTAAAGTGGCGGTCAAAACATTGAAAGGTAAGTTCAACTTTCGCGCGATTGCCAACTTGCCCAGACTGTGGAAGAGTGAATTATTTTCCTCGCATGAAGCGACTCGATGTATTGCTGATTAAAGGAATGCTAGTTTTTTTCAGGTCATCACAATGTTTTTTGTCACGCAACCTCGTTCCCAAGGTTCTTTCTCTTTCTTCCTCAAGAAGCAAGAGAAAGGTCCCTAGGAACGAGGTTGTTTGTCATTTTTCCTTGACAGTTCACTGTTACCTACATACACTCCAGAGTAGAGACAGGAAACGAGGATATCAAACCTAAGGCCTTTAGATTTCATTGTGTTTTCCGTTAAACAACTCCTTCCTCCACACTTCTGATAAAGTCTATCTCAAACTTTGCCGGACGTTGCAGTTCGCTTGAATGTCCACTAATTCAACTGTAATTTAACATGTAATTTCAATTTGTTTTTAACTCCACATCAACAACTTTTTTCTCAAACAGAAGGGGCAGAGGAATCAGAACACAAAGACCTGATCTCTGAGCTAAAAATATTGATCCACATCGGATCTCACAAGAATATTGTCAACTTATTGGCGGCTTGCACAAAGGGTAATAAAAGCTAGACAATTAGAGATCTTGTACATGTAAACCACGAGAAGTACCTGTTTTGCAGCGAGATCTATCTTTTGGTGTAGAATTACATCCCAGCAATAACCAATTTTCCTTGAATTGTACGACGAACTTGAGTTAATTTTTGATAAGGGAACCAATGGTGGTCTGGCTGAAGCTATTGTCGTCCGTTATATTTGGTTAAATATCAACTTATTGCTGTTAATAGCTCACATAACTAATTCTCTAGGTCATTTTTATTGCAGAATTTTTCTTCCAAATACGACTATTTAGTTTCAATACTACACTTCGCAGCTCAACTAGTTTAATACTAGTTTCACAAGAGCATAAATATAAATCTCGGTCTTTACCACCAAGAGAAATGATTCTGTTGTTTTTCTGATTTCTTGGTTAAGTTAACGTTATTGTTTATGATATTTTTTTGTTTTGTTTCGTTTGTCGTTACGACTGCTTTAGATGCACAAACTACAACGTTAGTGAAACGAAAGAGACTTAAGTCCCATCCATTCGATATCAACTGTTTCCACTCCATTTTCTAAATATATTTTCTATCTGACCAAATTTCATATCCAGGTCGTTACAGTGATTTTTGTCTAATCATCGAGTACTGTCCATATGGGAACATGTTAATATTTCTGAGAAACAGACGAGAAATTTATGACCCAACATGTTTGCCGCCCACCGAAGATCCTGACAAACAGTTCAGCCTGACAGAGCTAATGAGTGCAGCTTTTCAAGTCGCTAGAGCCATGGAATTTCTTGTGTCTAGAAAGGTAAAGTGATACTTTAAAAGAAGTTTACTCTTTTTTCCTCCGTATGATCTACGAAAATTAGCGTTGAATTTGAAGGGGTAACATATTAAGGAACTAGTTGAACTGAAAAGTAACATAAAAAGTTTGTTAATCGTTCATTCGTTCTCAGGGACTGGTTATTATTTACGCATGGTATTTACATTGGGGAGGGGGCAGAGAGGGGATCAGTCGTCACTAACGGAGTAGAGAGGGGGGAGTATGGAAATTTGACTGCCAATGAGGGTAGATTATCGGAACACTACAGAGCCTTAATTGAAGGAGGATCAGGTAAATATTATTGTTACACGACCACAATTGTCCGGCTCCCCTATCCCCCTCTTTCCCTATCCCCCTCTCCCCCTATCCCCCTCTCTCCCTATCCCCCTCTCTTCCCTATTCCCCTCTCTCCCCCCATTCCCAGGCGATAGATAATGACCGGTTTCTAACTGGCATTGTCTTTGCAGTGTGTTCACAGAGATTTGGCAGCTAGGAATGTTCTCATTGGGGAAAACTATGTGGTGAAAGTTGCAGACTTCGGGCTGGCCCGAGATGTGTATAGAGATGACAAGTACATCAAAGTGTCACCGGTGAGCCAGCTGAAATTTATTCTGTTCCGCCGAGCTTCAAACCCTTTTGAAAAGAAACTTCTTCTTTCAGACGCCGCGTTGTTAGTCAACTCATTAGAGAAAAACTTGAGTCATTATGAGAGAGAAATCGCAAACCTGTTCCCAGGGTCCTCTCTTTTTCTCGCCCCAGATGCGATCCTGGGAACGGAGTTGGAGGAATCAAACCCCAGAAGTGAGAAGGCTTTCGAAAGAGACAAACAAACACAAACAGCACAACAATGTGCTCGTAATTTCTAGCTTCCACCGTATTCGAAAGTCTCTCTTATACAATTTTGATTTTTCTTCCCAGGGCCTTGTTCCCGTGAAATGGATGGCAATTGAATCGCTGGTTGATCGAGTTTACTCCGAGCAGAGTGACGTGTAAGACGGTTTTGAAATGAAGTACTTTACTCTGACGTGTAAAAAAAAAAAAGAAAATTTACATCCGCTGATGAAAAAGAAAAAGAAGGTTTCAAAATCAAGGGGCATGAGCATGATATTGAGACCCTGGTGGACCCCAATGAGCGCAGCGGCTTATTGGAATTCTGGGGGAGAAGGGAGGAAGTGGGCGATTTGAAAAGTTTAGCTGGTTTTACCACATTATCTGACATTTTTTATGATTTTACTTTGTAGATGGTCTTTTGGAATTTTTCTTTGGGAGCTGTTTACCCTTGGTAAGGCTTAAAGAAGATTTGAAAGGAATTTGGATTCATTAGTTCTCCATCAGAACCGTAACCTCCCAAGTTTAACCCCAACCCACCCTGTTGGGTCGTTAGTTGAGCCCATGGTCACTGCTGTTCAGTGTTGTTATTGTGGGGCCATAAGGCAATACAGCCTGCTCCTTGCTACAGAAACCGGAGTAAGTTCCTTGGGTGTTGGCCAGTTGGCCTTTGTGAGATTTGAGCCAAGCGTGTTATTTTCTTTACAGGTGGGAATCCTTATCCATCGATATCACCAACCGAAATTTATCAATACATCAAAGATGGAAATCGTATGGAAAGACCCTTGGAATGTCCAGAAGAAATGTATGTGACTCGAATTTTTATGTTACGATAGACGGTCCCTACTTTCCGCCAAGTTAAAGAATTTTTGTGCTTCTTGACAGGTATGCCTTGATGACAGACTGTTGGACGGAGAAACCAGAGGACCGACCGAACTTCACCGCGCTCGTGCAGAGGCTGGATCACGTGATCGAATCCAATTCTGCTGCCATGGTCAGTGCGCCTTTTTTTTCTTCGTTTTTATCAAATGGGTTCTTTCGGCATATTTGATTTGTTTAATATGTGATCCGGATAATTTCCCTGAATCGGAACCTGAAGAAAACCTCAAAGTTATCATTTGCAAAAATAGAGAACCGGAAAAAAATGCTTACAAGCCATGAGGTTCACGCTTTCCGTAACACGAAGCAAACACATCAGTTGGGAAGCCAGTCCATTGTGCGTAAGCACCAGGTGTTTGTCAGGTTTCCATACACTTTGCTAGTACCCATTACTACTCCTGGATGTGGTGAGGGCTCGAACCCAGACCTCTCCATCTGTGGTCTAATCCGCCAACCCCTTGGCGTTTCTTACATAAGATCGCTAAGCATTCAAGCATTTTAGAAAGATGCCTCTTCTGTCGCGAATGTGGGAGGGACAAAGAAAAAATTCGCGATCCCCATGAGAAATCTAACCCCAGATCTTTGGCTTCCGCGCTCCGATGCACTACCCTTTAGCCACAGAGACACAATGGTGAGCTGGGCGATTACGAAGTTCATATCATTATGTGACACGTGTCCTGCTTCCTGGAAGGATGAGCAATGCATGTCAAATGCGTCATGTACGAAAACGGAAAAATTTTGAGCTCGGTGATCAAAATAATTAAAAAAAAAGTATTTAAAAGAAACGAAGATTTAAAAGACGATTAACACAGATTCATTCAGAAGCCGTTGTGTGGTTCATTTCCTCGCCAAATAATCACGTGACAAGGTCATGCAATAAAAACTTCATCTTTTTTTGGATCACATAGGGCCGTGAGGGATATCTAGAACTTGAGGACGAGCCTACGTCACCGAATGAGGAGATGGATGAAGATGGTTATTTGAAGCCAACTGAGATCTCTCCCCTTGGTTATAAATCGGCGCCGCTGAACGGAAACGTCAACGTTGACAGCAATAAGGACTTGTCAGGGGTGAACAGTTATTGGACGAGCGAACCAAAATCCAAGGATTTACACTGTGAACGTTACATAGATCTGGGCTTCAAGCCTACAATTAGTTCAAATGACTTAGCAGAAACTGTGCTTTAAAAGTGTGTGTGTTACAATAAGTCAACATCCGTAGAGCCCTGCGATCATACCCTTTCTTTTTCCCGATTGTCTCATTACAGGAAAAAGGTTTTCTTTTTTTACGTCTCGCCGTGAAAGAAAACGAAATGAGGCCTCCTTGCAAACTGAAAAACCGCCACAAGACTAATTTGTTCCGAGAAGGCGATATCGGTTTACCCAAGGTAAACCATTAACCACCTCAGGTCGTATCCGAAAATCCCCCTCCAACTTTGTATACACTCTTGTGAATTAGTTGAGAGAATTCGATTTTATATCAAGGTAACACCTACCTGATGAGCATTCCAATAATCATCACCTATTTGTGGGATTGTGTTCAAACTGTAAGGGAAAATAGTCATATGTAGATCGCTTCTAAGAAATAAAAGGCGAATAACCTTGGAAATATCATGCTTATGAAATAATATGGAAGTTAACGTGGAGTCCTTAAAACTAGAAGGGGGAGAAGGTGAAGAGAGTTAGAGAGCTTCCCAGAGTTCAAGCCCGAAAAGCTGACTCAGTAACTAGTGTAATATATTTTAGTGAGCTACATTCGAAATAGGGTGCGCCCCTGGATCATCATGGTCTAACCAAAGGGGTGCCAGTACTGTGGACTAAGAATTTTGACTACTGTGATGACGAATATCGTTGTCGATAAGAGTGCAGACCACTCTAAACCACTGTCGATTTCAGGAGGGGGTGCACCACTAAAGAATGGCGTAACTGACTGGTGACCGGACGTAAAAAAATTGTAATAGCAGAATAATACTTGTATCAGAAAGCCTCAGGTAATCTGGGGAGGGGGGGGGGAGCGCGCACCCCCTGCACCTTCGCCCTAGATCCGCTCCTGTAAAAGAGGATGAATATCCAAACAGTCTAGCGAAGATTCGGGTCTTTGCAATATTTCGTGCGGGAGACATTCGAGGAAATGTTTTACTCAAACTTATAAGGCTTTCGTATAGACACTAAAGAGAAACCGAGTTTGTCCCTCTAAGCTAGCGGCCGTAAACTAACAAAAACATGTGTCATCTAGTTTTGCTATAAGAAGCATAGTCGTCTTCTGAGTGCTCATAAATATCCACATGAGTACTTTTTCACATACAAGGACTGTACAGATTGCGAATTATCAACGGATAGGTCACTTTTTTTACCTACGTGACAGCATTCTCGGCTGCTATTTTTACAGCGTGTCACGCGTCCTATAAAAATAATACTAGATATAGCTATCGCTAAGTGCCAACGAGCAACCAATGAAAAGAAATACTCATTGGTAATGTTAAAAAATGGAGTCATGTTTTGTGGGTGTAAATTTTAGTAGTGAAGTATTCCAACCAACGTGAAATGTTTTAAATTTTGAGGTGAATATGGTGAAAACGAAAATAAGTTTCTTGATTTTACATTATTGCAATACAAAAGTTTGTGCTGCAATGATAGCCAAGTGTGTTTTCTTCCCTTTCTAAAAATTATGTGTAAAACTGAATAATATAAGGTAATACAGAACAAAAATGAACCCACAATAACAACTCTTAATTGTATATGAACTGTAACAAAATATTTCTGAATCACTAAATAAATTTTTTCTTCACAGTCATTCAACTGGGATAGCACAACTATTAAGTTTGGGATGCATGGGCCAGTCTGAGATAACACATGCTACATCAGTATTAAACAATAATTTTAATTTTCCAACATCGTTCGAGACAGTCACACAATGTTATTGGACTGTTCACACAGAATGAACTAATCAGAGTTTACTTCTGGACGTTTAAAGGAAAGAACTTTGTATTGTTCATTGTTTGGACATTGTTGACCAAACAAATATTTTCTTCGAGACAATATAAGATAAACTTCAACGTCATTAATTTTATCCTTAATTAAGGGATGTATAGAGCGAAATCTCTAACACATGAATCTAAACTGTAACAAAATATTTTTCATTCACTGCTATAACGTTCTTCAAAGTCAAACACCTGGGAAAGCAGATGCACATCTTTTAGCTTTGGGATGCATGGGCCAGTCCGAGACTACACATGTTACATCAGTATTAAACAACAATTTTAACTTTCCAACGTCCTCCGAGACAATCACACAAGGGTATTGGACTGTTCACAGACAATGTGCTAATCAGAGTGTACTTCTGGACGTTTAAAGGAGAGAATCTTTGTAATGTTTGTTGTTTGGACATTGTATACCAAACAAATGTCTTCCAGAGACATAAGATAAACTTCAATGTCATCGATTTTATCCTTTAGGGATAAGGTTGATCCTGCCAGCAGGGTTTCTAGTTGCTCAGTGAAAGCCTGGATCCACATCTCTTTGCTGTTGTCACCTTCTGATTCAGTGATAGAAATTTTTGCTGAAGCCTGCAGTTTGATATCTCTTGATCTTTGACGTGTACCACAGTTTTCACACTTCAGTGTGGTGCAAGTGAATGATTCAACATCATTTAAGCGTTTTTTGCACACTTTGCAGGAACAAAAGATGTTTAGCTTTGACACCAAATTGAATTCTGAAGCAGTTACTTCCTTTTCTGGACTTTTGAGCATATCTGGTCCAGTCAGGGTTTGCACTGTTTGTGTTGTAAGGTTTGCTGTTGTGTTTGGCGATGTACTTAGATACGTCGACCCTTGGAAATTCTTTACTGTCAGGTTGGTGAAGCAGTATGATTTACCCGTTGTCAAGGTATGGACAAGGGGTTCCCAAATGTGAATCATTGATGACCCAGTGTTGTCCTCCAACACGCAATCTTCCTTCACATGGGCTGTTGCTCCAGTGGATCTGAGAACAACAGCCTTGAGGTCTTCTTTTCCCATAGTGAGGGAACCACTGACATTGACTTTTTGGTTTGGGTGCAAACCTTTTACATTCGACACAGTAACTGACTTTGCAGCACTTGATTCACCTGCACTTTCAAGCTTTGGCTGCTCGGTGTAACAAAATGATACATCTGACAAGCCTGCTTTATGTACGGCAGATTGTTGATTGAAAATACATTCATTGTCGTCTTTTACAATAATGTTCTTGAGCTGTACTGGGCTCTTGGTTTCCTCAAAATGTTTTAAGGAATCATGGACATAGAGATTAAATCCTACCAAACGTTTCACTTTAGTGGGTGAAGTTTGAAGCTGAAATTCATACCACTGATGCTTTGACTTAAGGGACTTCTTAATTGGACTGAGGTTGTGAATAAACCCATGGTCGTTTGCTGCAAGTAAACAATTAAGATGGTTAGAATATGCATAAGAGAATTATGTTTGATTGGCATGGTAATGTCAAATAATTTGGGGGGTTGGATATTTCAAGAAAATGACACATTGCAGGTAAAGCTTGAAATATAAAGGAGTCAGCATGTACTCATTATTATGAGTGAACAACAATAACCAAGAACAAAATTGCCTCTACCTTTCACAGATACAGTAGTCAGGTGCTAGGGGCTGAGTTGCTGCAAAATAACAGGGACACCAGTTGTCCCTGTTTAGTCTTAGACTACTTAAAGGGGCATGAATTCTGTATTTATAAGATAAAATAATTATATTCAGTACTTACAATAAGTCCTTTTGCTTGCCATCGTCTGCAACAAAAAATGTTTTACAAATTAAAAATACATCACACATAGATACATATTTTATTGACTTTCCTCCAGAGGCTTTTCAAAGACAATAATTAAATCAAGTCAAACAAAGAAAAACAGGGGAACACAATAATTGGTATTTGGATGTCTTGTTTAGCTTTTGGAGAACATGCTTACTGTATTAAGTCAAAGTTACTCATGATGACCATTTTTAGAAGCATTTAGAGATAAAGAATCAAGTCTCTTTTCTTCAATTAACCTATATTTCAAAAAATTTGATTTTTTGTAAGCTTGCAACCTTTCAAATGTCATTGGCTCAATTATGAGATCTTGGAGTCTTTTTACTCTACTAAGAGCCACATATGTCATACCAGGTGAATTCTCTGAAGGGCCGAGATCTATCCATGCTTTTTTAAGAGTCAGACCTTGGCTTTTGTGAATAGTCATAGCCCATGCTAGCTTTAAAGGAAGTTGTTGTCTTTCACATGTGTGACCTATGTTTTGTGAAATTTGGGTTATTGGACAAATTGGAACGCATCTTGGAACACTTGCAGTTAAAGAAGGTCCATTATATTGTTCATCAAACTGTACAAGAACACAAATAGGCAGGGCTGGAGGAGTTTGCCCATCAGCATATACAAAATCTAATACAGTTCCTAGTGCACCATTACAAAGACCAACTTCTGTCCACATGTTCATAGTGAGCATAACTCTAGCACCTTTAGCTAAATATATGACAGGTTCTAATCCTCCCATTTCATCAGAGCTAAGTGTTTGAGCACCACCAGAATGACGGGCTTTGATTGTTGCTATTGGCTGGTTTAGATTTTTTAATTTGATCAAGTTCATTTCTGCAACTTTTGCCTTCAGATAGGATAGCCTTACAGATGATGTTAGGAATTCTTCAATATTTGTTACATTTTCAGGAGTTCTAGATAACAATGTCTGCCAATCTGCCAAAGTGGATTCTCCATTTCGTGCTCTAATGAGGAGATCTCTAAAGCAGCTGTGGGCATTAGTTTTGCCATCAACTCTATGATTCACTGACAATGTGACGACTTGTTTGAACTCTTTATATATGAGGTGACCCTGAATCTGTTTTTCTGATTTTGGCAAAGAATGGAAAAGTGGTTTATCACCAACTGGGGATAACTGTGCTATATCACCGACCAGAATAACAGAAAGACCACCAAAAGCTTGATCAGCTAAACCTGTAGCTTGCCTGCATCTACAATCTATCCACCCAAATAAGCTCTGGCCAACAAATGAATATTCGTCTATAATCAAATACTGAATGTTTTGTAAATTAGTTTGAAGTTGTTGCAAAGCTATTCCTTTCAATTCGAAGAGTCTTTTTGAACCAATTGGTAGTTTGAGGAAAGAATGCAGTGTTACACCCTTGACATTAAAAGAGGCCTTTCCAGTATATGCTAGTACTTGACATTTTTCCTTAAGAACATTTCTTACAGCATCAATAACATAGCTTTTTCCTGAACCTGCAATTCCTTTAACAAGTAGATGCAAAGGCAGTTCATTACTGCTGTTGAAGTGATTTAGAATGATATGGTATGCCAACAATTGATCGCTACTAAAACTTGAAATATCTATTACTCTTGATGATATGTGCCAACTTGGTTCATTTTTATTTTTCTGAGTATTTAACC